TGAACTTTCAGCCATGGTAGCCTAGTGGTAAGAAGTTGCTGCAATCTCAAAGGCATGAGGTTTGAATCTAACAGCTGCTCCATGGAAGAAAGGGAATCTCCTCCCATGTGATTTATTTCTTCTGAAAACCCACTGCAGGGTCAGTTATGGGTTTGTTCTCACCAGATAGCACACAACAACAACGTGGAAGCATCCAATGGGCCTCCACTCAAGCCCTAAAGCATGTGCAAATGAGGAAGTGAGCCAGCTATATTAACTCGACCCATAACCCCAGTAGCACTGGGTCCTCTCCACTCTTTCCTTTCCCCCTGCAGAGTAACCCATTTCTCTCTCTGAAACAAACTTTACTGATAAACTGCCTTTACTTCCACTTTTATTTTTGGGTCTCATCTCCCCTCTTGGCAAGTGGGATGTCCCATTGAGTTGTGTGTTCTTTTAAGAGCCTCCACATTTGCTGTATACAAAAAACAGCTCTTTTAAAAGTGTCACTAAAATTACTGTGTATTGTGCTACTTCTTGTAGCTTGGGTGTTACCACCCTCGTTTCTTTCACTAGGTTTAATTCTTTAGTCAATGGAGGAAGCCTAAAGTCTGGGCATCAATATCGCGGTAATAATACCACCAAAGAAAGTGAAGGCACAGAGGTACACAAGAAATACAGTCATCAAAGTAATACTATTATGCACACAATCCTGCAATATCAGCAATAATAAATGGCAATCTAAAATCAGATTTTTGAAGCAGGAGTGGCATCCACTTCCTAAACAACATGTGTCGAGAAACTCTGGACTTGATAAATGATGATAGTTATGGAAAGGCCTTTAGTTCACAGGGTCTCTATGAGTCCTGCTCGACTCAGTGGCAATCAACAACAACAACAACAAACAATGAGATAAATAAGCAGACAGGTAAGACAAACAGATAGGGGCAAGTAAAATGACTACATCCATTACCATAAACAGGGTCTGGCAGATGATAGTTCATATTAGTATATGCTGTAAAAATATTCATGTATAGAGCAGAGCCAAGAAGGGCAAAGTAAGTAAACTTCTTTTTTTTTTT